AGCCTATCATCACACTAGTGACATACCAAGAATGCCCCATGTGTGTGACACAAAGTAACACCTGCAGCAGTCCCTGGGGATGAATGCTACATGCCTTGTCCCAGCTCACATGGGGGACTGGAACTGACGATCAGGTACAGGTTCCAGAGGCCGGGCTGCTGCATGTGACCCTGTAGTGCCCTAGAAGCACCCTGTGTTGTTCCCACCCTTTAGTCAAATAATACCATTGGGCTCCTGCTTGACGGCATCCCAAGATGGGGACTGGGGCTGCTCCTTCCACTCACAAACTCACCTGGACCCAAGCTCTCACACCAGCAATCTGCAAAGCATCATGTGCTCACGAAAGCCTCTTTCCCCCAAAGCCAGGCAGGGACCAGGCTATGGAGCAGCGGCTCAGGCTGAGGCCCATTCAGTGAAGCAGCTGCGGTGCCATCTGCTCACAGACCCTGTGCACAGCCTTACCAAGCCCTTCCCCAGCCTGCTGCTGCCAAGCAGGGGGACTCACACCATGAGAAGCCCTGGGAAGAGCTCGTCTTCCACAAAGAACAGTTCCGACTTCTTAGATGTCAAATAAGCACTTTCCCGAAAGGCCAGCCAACATTTTATTTAAGTGCCAGATAGGAAATAGTCCAGGTCTTGTAAGTCATAGAGTTTGTCTTAGTTACTTTTCTTGTTGCTGAGATAAAATACCTGCTGCCCAAAGCTAAAGGACCAACAGTTTAGTTGGCTAATGGTTTGTAGAGATTTCCGTCCATCACTGGCTCGCACCAAGGCAGGATGACACGGCAGATAGGCACAGCAGAGGAGACAGTTCATGGTGGGCAGAAGGTAGCAACGCAAACAAGGGACCTTAGCAGTGTCTTTTCGCCCCTTTTTATATTCTATATAGAATGCCAGGATTAGGGTGCCTAACAAATCAGTTAACTGATTTAATATTCACCCACTACTGGGGCCGGTGAGTTAGCTCAGCAGACTAAAGCATGTGCTCAGGCAAACCTAGGCCAGTACAAGGACTGTGGTTTGTTCCCTGCCACAACATGCTGTGCCAGCCCCACACTAGGGTGGGCTGAGCCAGTGACAAAGTCTGGGTATAGTGGTGCATACCTATAATCCCAGCACTGGGGAGGCTGAAAGCAGGAGGATCCCTGAGTCTGAGCTGTGTAGTAAGACCCTATAACAACCTAATATATTTTTTTAAAAAAAAGTTCACCCATCCTTAAAACCTAGCATTGCACCATGACTGAATTGCACATTCTAGATCCAGCCCCCTCTGAAACAGTACCGCCTATGACAGCCTGAGGCTTTAGGGGACAGAGAGAGTGACATCTAAGCACAGGTTGTAACAGCCTCTGGCATGGCTGAACTCTGCTATCACAGCACTAAAGCAGCCGTGGTACTACGTCATTAAATGGGTGTGGCTGCGTTCCCATAAAGTTATATTTGCAACAGGGGCATCTGCCAGTGCACTGAACCTGAAGTTCCAGGGCTAGGAGGACAATCACAAGATGGAGGCCACGACAGCCCTGACACAGCAGGTGACAGACCGTTCCTGTACTGGGGACACTCGCTTGTTTCTTCTTTTTGGTTTTTGGGTCCTGGATAGATTTATTTAACCCCACAATGCCCCTAGTCAAGAGTCAAGACCCCTTCCCTAAGTCTTCTGCTCCCAGCCAGGCTGGGAGCAAGGCTTGGACTCCAGCTCAGAGCCAAGAATCTGCTCAGAAATTCATTTCTTCAAAGTTCTGGAGGCTGCAAGTTCAAAATCAAAGTATCAGCAGCCCTGTGATCCTTTTGCAGACTCTGGGAAAGAGGCCTTCCTGGCCTCTCTCCTGGCTTCTGGAGGTCTCCAGTGACCCTGGGCAATCTTCCCCCGTTGTCATTATATCACCTCAAAAGGTCTGCAGCTCTGTGTCTCCTCTCTTTCTTATGAAAACACAATTCAAAAAGCTGTCAGAAAAAATGAAAAAAATCACTTATAAAATGAACCTATCGGGGTTATAGCAGATTCCAGCACGAACTTGAAAGCCCAGGCAAGCTTGGAGAAAAATGTTGCACATTCTTTCTTTTTCCCTGTATTTTAAGGAAGGGCCTACAGGGTGTTCAGGGTCTCACTGTTCGATCAGGCTTGTCGTGATCCGCCTGTTCACAGCCTCCCAAGAGCTGGGATTACAGGCACATGCCACCACGCCCAGGCTCAGTTGCTCTCTCAGCCACCCTGGAGATGGCGCCAGCACAGCAGCCGCAGGAATCAAACCCCCAGGCCCTGAGCCTGCTTGCAGGCATTCTCATCTGCTAACCTATTTGGCTGACCCTCAAGTTCTGAAAGAAAACAAATTTCATCCCAGACTAACATAATCTCCAAAAACAACTTGCAAACTGCATAGAGACATAAGAAAATTCCATAGCAAAGAGCACCTTAAGAAATTCATGAACATCAAACCAACACTCCAAAAAGATACTGGAAAATATTCTATACAGAGATATAGAAACCAATCACAGCCAGCAAGTCTGATATTTTTGAGCACATCAAGCAAGCTCAGTAAGCAAAAAGGGGGAAATAACACAATGACAGAAATAAGCCAGCGCCTTTCAGTAATGATCCTCAGTTAACTGCCCAGGTAAAAGGCACAGACTGGTAGACTGAAACAAAAATCAAAACTCCAAGGTTTTCTGTATACAAAAGACTCATCTAAACCCAAAAGAAATTCATAGACTAAAAATCAAAGGATGGGAAAATACTCCATGCACCAAGATTCCAAAAGCAAAGGCAGACAAAGCTCATTGTCAGAGAAAATGGAGCTCACACTAGAATTAATTAAAAGAAACAGAGAAGGTCACTGTTTATTAGAGGGACAATTCAACAGGAAGAGACAACAACTACAGATTACATACACACCAAATACTTATGCCTCCAACTTCATAAAACATAAAAAATAAGTTAACTATTAACACAATCAGAGTGGGGGCCTCAACATTTAATTTTCACAAATAGCCCAACTGAACAAAAAAATAACAAAGAAATATGAGAGCTGAATCCTACCTTCAAACAAAGGAATTTAGTAACTGTTAGGAGTATTCTGTCTACCCTAATGCAACAGAATACATTCTGCTCGGCAGTACAGGCCTTCTCCTAAATAAACTACAAACTAGTCCATAAGGCCTGCTTAAAGAAATACAAAAAACAAATCAAAACCATCCCATGTACACTGTCAGATCAGAATGTAATGAAACTAGAAATCTATCACAAGAGAAACCACAGAAATTATAGAAGCATCTGTTTGTTAACCAGCACTCCTGAGCACTCAACAAGCCACAGAAGAAATTATAATTTCCTGGAATCAAATAATAACATCAGTAAGACCCAGCAGGAGTTACCTGGTTTGATAATGAAGAGCCTCAAGAGGAAATTTACTGGTATGAAGACTTGCTTTACGAAATCAGATTGAGCGCAAACAAATCATCAGTCATGATGGACCTCAAGCTCTTAGAAAAAACAACACTACGAACCCAACTATAGTTCAAGGAAGGAAAGAAATCGTAAAGATCTGGGCTCAGAACGGAACCCAGGGCCTTCTGTGTGGCTGGTAAGTGTGCTACCTACCACTGAGTCCATCCCTAGTCCAGGGCTGAGCTGATGACGCAGATCCCAGCCCATGACTGTCAGTGAGCCACACTGAAGGACCATGGAAGACAGACTCTGCTCCTGAAAGGCACAGCACAATCCCAGAGGTCTGCAGGATCTTCCCCACAGCTCTCTGCTGCATCTCCTGCACAGGCCCATGGTGATCTGGCCACAGTGTGAACAAATGACACAGCATAAGGACTGTAGGTGGCCCAAGGCTGTGGGATTTCAGGGTCTTCAGTCTCCAAAATGTCCTCTCAAAACAGCACCATGCCTATTACCAGTACTCAATAAGTAGCACAGGCAAGCCAAGCAGGGCTCTTGCAGTCCACAGACACAGCCTCGTGCCTTTGCATGCTTGTCCTGCTCTGAGGTCTTGGGTGAGCTCTAGAACCCCAAAGTGTTTCTCCTCATGGCACCTACACAGCTAGGATGCGAAGGCTCTGCAAACGCCTGGAATACCTCACCTTTCCACCTCCCTAGCAGAAGTGCTGCCCCATGAAGTGTCCCTTCTTTTGGAGATGTCTCAGTAGGCTGAGGAGATGTGGGGCAAGCCCTTCCCAGACTGGCCCTGCAACTGGCCCAAGCCTGGTGGCAGCTGCTCAGCAAAGATATGTACAGACCTCATGGCTGTGTGCACCTGCGAAGAAAACTGCATCCCTCAGGCAACCCTGACACTACTGACTTGTCGTTTTTGTTCCCTTCAGCCGGTGCTGTACTGCGACCTACCTGATGCCTGGAACGGGGTGCAGCAGCAGAGATCTGGGGCCACAGAGACAAAGACTTGACCTTCCTGGGTCTGGCCCCAGAGGTGTGAGCCTTCTGCCCATGCACGCCCCCCCAGGCTCACCTCTGGAAGTTCACTGCACGGTCACCCCCGAGCTCCCCAAGGAAGCCCTGGTGGCTTGCCGTTCAAGCACACACCCTGTGCTCCTTCTGACCCAACTGTTTGGCATCAGTGAGGGGAACTCATTGTTGTAGAAGACATCCGGCCCGCAGTCAGCCTAGGGTGGATTTCCCAGGAGTCTCCAGAAAGAACACTCCTTACCCAAAAGGTTGCCAAGGTCCCTGCCCTCCAATGACGGTCTCCAAATGCCGGTGTCCTGGCTCCTTGAGCGGACTCCCCTGGAGGGAAGGGGCCAGGGCTCCGGGCCCATCTCAGCCAGTGAGCCCACTAGCTGCAGCCCACTCTCTGTGACACAGAGAACAGTGAACGTGGTCTAGAGAGGGAAAGGGAAAGACTCTGATACCGCAGCAGCTGGTATCCCTTGCTGTGTACTGGGAGATACAAGGGCAAGCCCACCAGGCACGGAGCTGCCCCAGAAATCCTTCCTATCGCCCACCACGGCCTGAGTTTGACTCCTGCATCCATCTGCAAGCAGCAAGCCATGCCCATGAGTGTTCAGAAGTCGGGGGCTTTTCCGGGAACATGTTTAAAAGCTAAGAAAAGCAAGTGGCCCCAGAACCCTAGGCCTGTGCTGTCTACAGAGGTAGCTAGCACCTGGAGCTACTAAAATCTAAATCCACTAAACTTAATCCACATTAACACTGAAGCCCCTGGTGACCACGGCCCCACTTCAAGTGTTCCCCGGCCCCCGTGGTTGGAGGCATGCTAGACAGGACGGGCTGCAGGACACTTCCACAATATACACAGTTGCCGCTTCCCAGCAGCTGAGCAGAGGCCCCTTCCTGCCTGTGGCCCAGCTCATGCCCAGCTCCTGAGAGCGGCGAGTGCCTGGAATCCACCCTTCAAAGGCCATGAAGGGAAACAAGACAAGGTGTCCGGAACCCAGGGCAGGGTCCTGGGCCTGGTGGGTGGAAGCAGGCAGCACTGCAGCCTTGTTGTCCCTCTGCTAGAATGGTGCCACCTTCCTGGCTACAAACATGCTTCCTACACCCTGCCGGGTAACAGCAGGACCAGCCCCAGGGACGACCAATTACCTGAAGTGAATGAAGCCAGCTCCCACACCTGTGTATAACCTCTCCGCCCGCTGCCAACACTGTTAAAATTGGCAAACATGAGTGAACTGTAGGAGGGCTCTTGGACCCAATCTTGTGACTTATATTTGCTGTGAGAGCGCAAACATATTCAAAAATGTTCAACTAAAGCTATACACACATTTAGGACAAGAAAAAATAATGAAACCAGAGAAGTACCCAGATGCAAGGGCTGAGCCTCAACTTCCCCAGAAGTACTGAGGTCTGCAGTGGGCTGAGGGGCGACATTTTCCATGGTCCCTGTGCATGTGATCTTATTTTGGGAAAGGGTTTTAGCAGGCATGATTAAGTTAACGTCTCAGGGTATGTGACCCCAGATGTGGATGGACCCTGAGTTCCAGGACAGTGCCTTATAGGAGAAGAAAAGAGGCAGACGAGAGGCAGCCTCAGGAAGCTGAGGCAGATACTGGAAGGCCAGCCACCAGGCAGCCAGCACAGAGAGCCTCCACGACACTCCAGAAGCAAGGCAGATCTTCCTTGGAGCCTACAGAGGATGCACGGCCTGCCACCCTGGAATCCAAGGCTTCCGGCCTCCACACCATATAAGAATCCAGTTCTGTTGTTTGAAAGCCATGAGGTTTGTGGTGATTTGTTACTTAGCCTTTGCCTCCAGTCCCGGAAGGGGGCTAGAGGCTGACACAGGTGTGAAAGTCCTCCCGAGGCTCTGTCACACAGTCCTGGTCCCTTCAGGGGCTTGGGCTGTAAGCTGCTGTATCTTTGTTCTGAGAACGGGGCTGCCGTCCGATAGACACAGCCATGAGGGATTGCTGAAGCGATGAACTGCAGCCTCCAGCTCTGACAGCTAGTTCCGAGTTTCTGCAGTCCAGCATCCTCAGACAGCTGCCGCATGGGACCCCTCAGCGAGTGCCCTCTGTGTGGCCCTGGGCCCTGCTCCCATCACCCCTCAGCTGCTCACCCAACCACAGCGGTACACAACTTCCTTGCTGGCCCCAGCCCAGCACCCACTGCCTTCCCAGCAGCGCAGTGCACACCCCTAAATCCAAATGCAGTGGCTTTAGGCAGACACCAAGCGCAACACTGTATTCCTTCTTGTAAATTCTGGGCTCCTCCCACAGCACAGCCAGGGCATTCCCTCTCCACTGGTCCCTCCAACCCATCCACATCCCCAGGATCAGCCCCAGCAACCACCACTGTCATGGAACCCAGGGTCTCACGCCTGCTAAGTTTGCGCTCTACCCCGATCCACACCCCGAACCTCACTGCCAGCACTGATCCTGCCTGCGATGTTACTGCATAATGCGGAGGCCAAAGCGTCATGAAAAGCGCTTCATCCTCCAGGGCTCTGACTTAAATCCACAGCTTCCCTTGACCTCGGCACAAGCCCTCATGGTCCTCCAGGACGGCCTCTGCTTCCCTTCACCTCTGCCCTCTTCTTCTCTTCCTGGCTTCCTTTCCGGGATACCTCAAGTGCGTACTGGCCCCAAGTGTGCTTAGGACACCCTTTGTTCCCAGCGTAGCACTGAAGCTCTGGGCTATCCTTGCCTGACTTGCAGGCAATTCCCTCCAGAGGCCCTATGGGAGGAGAAAGGACCCTTCTCCTTTCTGAACTCCCAAATCCAGCGCAGGGACTGGCCTGTAGAGCCCGCTGCATTAAGTATCGAGGAGCACCTTACATTTTGCAGCATCCCAATAACTTAGAACAATGATATCCAAATAAGAATTTTTTTAAGTGGTGAACTATGCCTCAGTTTTTGCATCTGCAAATTGGAGATGGACTCGAGAACAGGGTTGACAGGAAGGAAGTAGCTCAAAGCCAGCCCCTTGGAGGCCTCCAATGATAAGTGTTCTTTCTCCCTATCTTCGGCCTGCTGATCACCCTATCAGGGGCTATTCATCCAGAAGGCTCCGCGGTGACAGGCTGGGCCACAAAGATCCTATCTCTCACCAACGGAACTTCAAAAGTATCTTTATCTGCAGGCCCCACCTCATGAAGGTGGATTTCAAAGTAATTTCTCTTGGTAAGCCTTTTATTCCAGGCAGGCAGGCACCCACCCAGCCTTATCTGCAATGTCCCCAAACTGTTGTCTTTCCAGGAAGGGTGTCTCCTATCTAGGGCCCTCCAGGAGGTAGGGGACAGGCCAGTGGAAGAGGCCCCAAGACCTGGCTCCAGCTGCAGGCCTCCCCCGCTTCCAACTGTGAGAGCTGGAACCTATGAATTCTGTACTCTTTGAGGGGCTCGAGGCCTCCCAAGTTGGTAACTGCAGTTCTAAGGGTTGCAGGGGCCATGGAGAAAAAACGGACACCACCATGTCTGCCTATACCGGTCCCTCCTAGCAAAAGAGCAGAGCTGTTAAGCAGAACTAAACTGGGGACATTTCAAGAAGTCATGTTACTCGGAGTTTGCTGCTAAGACCACGCCACCAGGCACAGGAGAGTCCCTCCGGGGATCCTTCCGTGCACCTGGGGAAGGACAGGAGCTGGTACTGAGGCCTGCAAGGAGGCAGGCACAAGGGACAGCAAAGTCAGGTCAGCTCCCTGCTCCCAGCAGGAGAGAGCTTAGAGGTTGGGCGAGTCTGAGGGTGGCTCGGCCGGCGGGGTGCAGACACATATGCCCAGCTTCCAAGGCTGCTGACCATGTCCCAATCTTGCTGCCTTCTCCTAGCCAGCATTCTCTTGGCTTCCTGGAGCCTCGGCACTGAGCAGCTCACCGCTCCATAACAGATGGAGTATGCAGCCTACCTTCTGGTCTCTTTGCTCCCCGCACCCAAAGTCAGGCATGCTGTGGAGCACAGAGCAGCTTCATTAATGCTGCATGTATGAACTGGCAGAAACGAGAGGCAGGAGCAATCGGGGGACTGACAAATAGGCACCAGTTACTCCGCGGAAGCACACACGTCTCCCTCCCTCTCTCCCTACCTCCCCCAGAGCCCAGAGGTGCTCCCTGGCCACTGCTCTCCTGGTCCTCAGCGTGGACAGTGTGACAGGACAGCAACAAAGCATGTGGCCCTGGCCAGCCCTGGTTTCTTTCACCCCTGCTGCCAGTAACAGGCTGTGTGACCATGGGCAACTTGTAGAAGCCCTCATGTGCCCATTTCCTTAACAGCCTCCCAGCGAGTTCAAGAAGCTCTGTAGGACAAAACTGCCATTGTGTGTTTAGAACGAGCTGGCACCATGACACTGGGACTGTGGGTTGCAGGAGTACTGCGGCACTCTCTGGTTATCCAATGCTGAGGTAGAGCGAGTCCCAACAAAGGTACACACCCAAAGTCACACACAGTCATCAAATACACTGTCAGCTCAGAACCCAAAATTCTGGGGTGAAATCCTGCTGTGTGCTGGGCACAGTGGTGCACATCTGAGATGATCCCAGCACTTGGGAGGCTGAGGCAGGAGGATCACTGTGAGTTGGCGGCCAGCCTCGGCAGCACAGTCAGCTCTAGGCCAGACTGAACTATATAGCAAGACCCCATTTAAAAAACAAAAAACAAACAAACAAAAAATTCCTGCTTTGTCCCCTGTGGCCTCTGACACCCCACTTCCCAATCCGGGGCCTCAGGTTCCCTTTTCTGGAAAGCAGACCTTCAACCTGCTTTGCCTTCCACAAAGGGGAGGACAGATGGAACAGAAAGTGCATGCTTTCCCAGATTAATACTGTAGGTGCTCAATGATTTTATTTAAATGAGTGGATAGCAGGGTCCCTGACCCTCAGCACCACTGGCCAGCAGTCACTCTGTGTGCTCCTGTTTGATCGTCACCGTGCTTCCCATTCCTGGTCCCTCCCAGGTGCCTGCCTTGTCCCTCCCTGGCAGGGGCGCTCGGCTTTGATCACTTGGCTGGGACTTGATGCCAGTTAAGCTGACACAGGGCCAACCTCGGAGAGCATTCCCTCCCACACTGCATGGTCATACCAGCCCCAGACTTCCTCAGCAACAAGAGGCAGCGGAGCAGCGGGGCTCAGGGACTGCCGGCCACTGCCCAGCCCCTCAGAGCCTGCAGTGCTGCCGGTGAGTGTCTGTGTGTGTGCTGCCACATGACCCTGCTGAGAAATCTCCAAGCCAGTGCAGCACTCTGTCCCATGCCTGGCTGGGCCTGGGACAGAATGAGCTAAGGACCTTAAAGCGCCTCCACTCCTGGTCTTAGTCTCCCCACTACAGAATGGAGAACATGGGCCCTGGCGTGCAGAAGATACCAAAAATCGCCTCTAAGCCTGGGGGAGTGAGGCACATTCCAAGCTGTCATTGTTCATTATTCTCAGGGCATTACAACTATACCTTAAGCCATCCTGGTTAATTCTATAGACTAGAACCAGCGTGATAATGACATTTGTTCTGGTGACAGGGAGGCCTCTGAAATGGGTATTCTTAAGCAAAGTTACCTGAATAAACAGGCTTCTCTGAAAAGATGAACTGGAGCTCAGACGTGGCTCAGATCCTGTTTTCATCTCTGCAGAGAGACGCAGGGCTTAATTCACAAATTAACCCACTGGGCTGTGCCTTCCCCTTTCCAGGGAACACAGAACAGAATTTTCCTCATCACGGCTGCCTGCTTATCCCTATACATGTGGAAAGACGCAGCAAGCTCTGTCCAACACAGACATGGTGGCCCTCCGCTCCGGTCTGGCCCGCCTGGGGATGGACTTTGGTGGGACCGGATGGGAGAGGAGCACCCCGAATGTGCCAAGGCCCCAGCAGCTGGCTCAGCACTCTCTCCTTAGGGACGAGCACGAGGCCTCAACGCCGAGTTCCCGGGAGCTGGGACCATGGCCAGCATGCTGCCACGTTTGAGTGTGGCCTGTGCACCCGAGGCACACTCCACAGCAACAGTCCACTGGGGATTGTGAGGACACTCGCCCAGGCTATCTCTGGATTAACCACGTAGATAAACTCACAGCCTGGGAGCCCAAAGGACCAGCTCCAGTCCAGCCCTTGCGCCGATGAATGGGGTACCTGGGGCAAGTGACTCCACTGCCTGGAACATAGCCATCGACCTACAGAGCCAAAGGGATGCCCTGCAGATGCGGGG